CCCTACAGCAATATGGAGCATATGAATTTATCCCTACTAACACTGTACGCTTTCACCAATCTCTCTCCAGCCCCTGTAACTTGATTTAACTCTCTACTGCTATGAGATTAGATTTTTTAGATTTCCTATAAGGGGTATCATGTAATAATTGCCTTTCTGTGTTTACTAACGTTATGTCACCTAATGTCTTCATATCATTGTTATGGCTGAATAGTATTCCATTGTGTATATGTGTCACATTTTTTTCAAACATTTGCTTTCACACAGATTTCACTTTCTTTGGATATATGTCTAGTAGGGTAACTGCTAGAACATATAGAGTTTCTAGCCTTAATTTATTTTTGTAATTTTATTTTATTCATTTGAAAGTTCTATGCCTTCTCTGTACCAAGTTTTTATACAGAGTGTGTGGAGGGGGAGGGGGAAAGGGAAGCTGCTTGAGATAGAGAAATAATCTTCCTTCCACTGTTCATTACCCAGATGGTAGCAAGAGCTCAGACTGGACTTGGCTGATGCTTAAGCATTTTGGGCCAACTTGTACTGCTTTCCCAGCCCATTAGCAGGGATGCGAGTTCCTCTATCCTTAATTTTTCAAAAGCAACCCTACTGTTTTCTGTAATAGTGGTACAAATTTACATTCTTATCAACAATACATAAGGATTCTGTTTCTTCCACCTTTCCAGTCTATCTTAAACACAGCAACTGCCAATGCCACGAACTCACTTCCTCTGAGCACCTTCTCACATTGTTGCTCAGAGTTAAAGCTGAAGAGTTTAAAGCTGAAGGATTTAAAACTTCTACTCTCAACTGCTCAACTTTAACCTCATTTCTTGATCTGCCTTTTATTCCTTACACATCAGCCTTACCAGGCTCACTCACACCTCAGTGAACATTTTGACCCCAAATATCTAGTAACTTGTCTCAAACCTCTATGACCTGGGTTTAGTGTTACTATCTCAACAAGACTTATCCCCGACTTCTACCCAAAACTGCACAAAGGGTGACTGAAGAGAATGTAAATTAACTATTTACTTCTCTTTTAAAGAAGAAGAAGCAAATACTAGGAGATTTTGAATGCTTTCACTATAAAGTTGAAAGCTGAAGATGATAGATATTATTTATACTGATTGGAATCACACAATGTATATGTATGTTAAGACACCTCATAAGCAGGCACAATTTTAATAATGTATGTATTTTGGCAAAAGGCCTGGGCTCACACTCCATAGCAAGCAACAGCCATACAGACTGGTCGCCCATGTCCTGCTCTCATGCTGTCCTGAGGGTGAAGGCTGAGGATATATCCCCCTGTGCATATTCTGTGGATGGATCAGGGAGGAGGATAAGGCGATGACCCAGGGATGATCAGGGAGGGAAGATAACTGAGGGAATATGTTGCAGGTGAAGAATGACTTCTGAGGGCTCTCATCAACAAAGCCAGTATACTTGCAGGTAAGTGACGTGGCTGAGACCAATGGATTTGGAGGATGGAAGACACAGGACTTTCATGGGTCAGACTGATGCACCAGCCCAAGTAGGAGATCACAATGGGCTAGTTAGCATGAATCACAGGTGATCACCACTCACTGGTGTACCCTAAAGCTAGAGTTTTGGGCCTACCTGGCAGGGCTAGATCACAATAACTGCCAGTGAGAGTTGGAACAGGGAATGGATAGTGTTACATTGGACCATGATATGAACCAGCACCTGAGTGAACCAGATTTGACAGCAGATCCTGTGGCAGTTATGTGGAACTATAACTCTTGTGGAACTATAATTTCTGCTAGCTTGCTTAAAAGCTGGTGTGATGACAGGCTGAGCTAGGCATAATCATGGAACCCTCCCACACTCATGGTTGCTGGGGTTGGGAACAGGCCAGATAGGACAAGGCTGCAGCAGCTGCAGGCCAGGCAACAGACATCAAAATTTGTTAGTAAGAATTGTAAGTGCAATCTGCCCATACACAACCCTGACATCTTTTCTATCCTAATAGATTTGTCATAGTATTTGTCATCTTCTAACCCACTACTATAACTTACTTTTGTATTATTTTTATAGTTTTTTGTGTATATCTCTAACTTCATGATTATGTGTATTCAATAAATATTTCTGAAAATGTGAGTGATAAATCATCTTTTCAACTATCTGCTCTTCCCTCTTGGCTTTTAATCACTCAACTATTTACAGAGTGTCTTTCTACACTTGATCTTAGCCAAAAAGCTGAGAAGTGATACAAAGTCTCTCTCTCTATTAGGGAATTGAATCTTCTCCCTATATTAGGGAATTGAATATTAGGGAACTGAACCTGGTAAGTTGCTTGTGGTTTCCTGTTGGGAAGTAATCTTGACTCCTGAAAATCATCTTCCTGAAAATAATTATTTTAGAATAAAAAACATATGCCTATTATTCAAAATGAAAATGGTGAGATGAAAACAGAATACAATGAAAATATCCTTTTACTTTACCCCAGACAAAGGCTTCCTTTCCACAGAAGCAAAGATGTTACTGGCATTTGTGCACTGTGTCAAAGAAAAGCAAATGTGCTGTACAATTGCGTTGTTCACTTAATTCTGTATCTTAACCTAGCCCTTGGATATTGTTCCTTGTCAGTATATGTAAGTGTTAAACTTTTAAAAAACTACAAATATATTGCATGGATGCACGATAATCTAAGAAAGTGTCACCTGCTGATATTAAGGCTCTTGATCCATTTTTGCTGCTACAATAAATTATTCTAAAGATATATCAAGAGTACACAGTTAAGTATACCAATAAGATATATTCTTGAGACACAGAAACTATAGGGATAAATGATAAATGCTTTCATAGGGCCAGTTGAATTCTTCATAAATAACTGAATAATTATTTAATAAATAATTAGAAAATGAACAACTAGGAAAGAACAGATTGTGCTGCTAATGCTAACTGTGGACTTTGCATCCCTAATGTACTGAGATATTTTTATTTGAAAAGAACCAAATAAAAAAAAGAACCATTGGGAGTCACAATGGATTGGGACAATAATTCATACCATCTATATGAATTCTCATAAGACCTAACTAGAATCAAAAGGGAGACACTATAAATGTAATGGTAGATCTTGGGAAATTAAAAGCACAGTTAATACCATAATGGAACATGTAATTCATTGCTCTAGCTAGAACAATACATTTCTAAATAAACTCTCTACCCACTAGCCCCTGATAACTATTGCCCACCACCTCTAGATTTATTTTTAAAATATTCATTCTACTCCCTTTCTCCCGAAACAAACCATTGCTGATGGATTTTTTTTTCTTTGCTAATGTATCATTACAAACTGCCAGAATATTTACAAAACGTTTTCTTCAGTGGATGCTTTTCATTTGGTTGGATGCATGTATGCCCCAAACCTTCTCAAAGGCAAAGACAAATTCAAGATTCAGCTGTCTACTGAAGGAGTTTAGCAGAGACTATTGTATATCAATGACTATTCAATAAATATTCATCAGATAAAACACAGCATCAATTATGTAAGATGTATTCAAGATAATTAGGTGTGGCACGAAGGCTATTCAACTAGAATTTATGAACTTGATTGTGTTCCAAAGTACATTCTTATATCGCTTTCATAACATGCCTCCAAATCTCTCTTCACTGTTTTAATTTTCAATTCAACTCAACTGAATAATCACTTCTTCACCAGATGCTGTGTATCTAAATGTACTAGATGCTAAGAATACAAATGTAATTAATAAATTACTTCCCTTCAAGCTATTTATACTCTATTCCACCCTTACTAGAATGCCCCCTTTACCTACTTTCTGCCTATTCTAACTCCAACCATTCTTTTTCTTTTCAAGATTTGTTTCATTTTTATTGGAAAGTCAGATACACAGAGAGGAGGAGAGACAGAGAGGAAGATTTTCCAGCCGATGATCCACCCCCCAAGGCAGTTGAAATGTCTGGAGCTGTGCCAATTTGAAACCAGGAGTCCAGAGTCTCTTCTGGGTATCCCAAGCGGGTGCAGGATCCCAAGGCTTTGGGCCATCCTCAACTGCTTTCCCAAGCCACAGGCAGGGAACTGAATGTGAAGCAGGTCCCCAAGGCTGACTCCACTTGCCTCTAACACACAAAGACCAAAAAGAGTTCTAACTAAGAGTGAACCAGAGAGCCACCGATTCCAAGGATTTAAGCCTTTCCTTGTCCAAACACAATTAGTTTCACATAGAGGAGTTGCACACACAAACAATTCATAGGAAATAACAAATGTTTGTCATATTCCTTATCTATCATTAAAAAATAAATTCCTATTTTTAGTTTACTATAAATTGTGCCATCAATAGCTTTCCTCTCTTCTTAAATACATAGTCTTTGTGGAAAATATTGAAGTCAGTAACACACAAAAAACTGTTGTACAAAATATCCCCTATGAACTATATATAGCACTGCATAAAGTAGACCACAGACCTGACTTAAGAAAGTATTGCTAAATTTGTCCTTTGAGTAAATTTTAACAAAGAAGACACTAGAGAAGATAACCATGGCCAAGCTGAATTTTAAATCATTCAATCTTTCACATGCCATTCAGCAGAGGATTATCATTCTCGGGATACCATTAAAAGTGCACTTTCTAAAAACCATACAACATACACAAAGAAGCTTTGTGTGAAACATACTCTGTATTGACCATAGACAAAATCACAGTTGACTGCAAGAAACATAATTCTATGGCTACATTCTCCTCTGTAACGAATTACTAGTTTAGATTTTTAAAATTTTACCATAGAGAGCTTCATAACATGAATTGATGCAAACTCTCTTCCCTATGAAACAGAGAGTTCAGTAAGAGTAGTCTTTCCATCTTGATTTAGCCTGATAAATACCTTAATCATTCCATCAAGTTATTTTATTCAAATTATATAGTAACTACGAAACACTAAACTGAAAGTGAAGTCTGATGTTGAACAAAAATTTGAATTCACTATAGAAAATGGACATAATTCAGGTAGTTTCATCACCTGAGTATGTCTCCCAGCTGCAGATCAACATCATGCAGTTTCTTTTGATATTTCTCTGTAAAGTTGCAGAACTCATTAATGATTGCAGACTTCAAATCAGGGTATGGGCACTCTAAAACTTGTAGTTCAATTGGAAGTTCAGTAAGCATGCTAATTTCCTCTTCCAAAGAATAATCCAGTATCTGAAAAGAAAAAAAAATACATATGGTTATTTTATTTAATGTGAATGAGAAATTGATAAATAAGTCACTAACTGCATCACACTTACTTTTCTACTCCAGTCCGAAAGGTCTGTTTCTATTTTTTGTTGCTCTAGGTTAAGTTTGTCGAATACGGTTTTCAATTGCTTCTTCACAGAGTCAATCTATTGGGCAGTTAGACAAGAAGTATGCAAATTACTGTAATTCATCCAATATTTATATTGAAAGACACAGACTTGCTCTCAAAAGCCAATACATAATGGAAATCTTTCGAGTACCTGTGGAAGAAGTTTTTAAAATTCCAGCAAAGTAATGCTCATCCAGCAAAGTAGCCACAAAGAAACATGCAGACACATGGGAAAACACCGGCACTGGGGAGGTGGGTGGGGATGGTATAACCAGCTGCTCCCACATGGGGATGTTGCTTGGGAAAACATCTGGTTCTGTTTCAATTAATCACCCTTTCCTTCCCTTGTACCACTGCCTCTAACACCCAGTTGAGCATGGAATTTAAATTTTATATGAAAGCAATATTTATTTAACATTTATGAAAGCAACATAGCAACATTACAGAGCAACTGAAAAATGAGAAATACAAATTAGAAACCTGGCACAGCTATACTTAGGATATACTATGTTTATATGCTTAGATATACCATACTTATGGATCTTACACTATAATGAGACATGGCAATCAACAAACTGATAAACCAAATAGACTGATACTCTTACAGATACAAGCAAGCATCAGGAAGGTGAAAGACATGGAAGACAGTGATATGAAAAGAAGTGACTGCAGCTGCTCAGGAAAGGTCTCTAAGATAATGGATACTTAAACCAAGACATGAGTGGCAGAAAATGGCATGGATGACACACAGGGAATAGCCACTGCAAAGGTTATTCCTGAGATGGGAATGAGACTAGCTTAAAGGAGGCATGGAAAAAGGTCAAAAGTCAGGATCCTTACTACAGCTCTGCTGGAAAACGAGCAGCGTCAGGAAGGAGACGCAACTGGAAAAGCATGAAAGGGGACCAGAAGAATAGGAGCACTGGGAATCAGCAGGAACCCATGGGAGATTTCAGCAACAGGAAGACTGAATTGCTGGGGTGGAATCCCAGAATGCCCTGCGAGGAAGAGCAGGAACGAAGGCAGGGAGACCAGTTACTGGGTCACTGTCACGTCCCGGGTGAGAAATTAGGAGGCTTGGGCAGATGTTTGCATATATATCAGCTCTGGAGTAAACAGACTGTTCATTCTTTGTTTAAAGACACAAGATACACATTTGCTTCTTATCTCAAATAGTTCCAGTAGGGATAAAAATAAAATATTACATTGTCAAAAAATGAAGGCAACCTACTGACCTCTTCTAGCACTTCCACAGAGTTAACTTCAGTGTGGGGATGTGAAGGCGGTAAGAGATGATGCTCTCTGTACTTCAGATCTGCCCTCAGCTGCTGAAGGGGATTTATCACATTTTTAAGAAATATGCACCAGTGTTCTGATAACTCTTGCTCTATAGTGAAACAAAATTAAATCAAGGAAACAGAGTACAGACATTTTTATTTCATTAGAAGAAATAAAAATACGTTAATGTTAAAAGAACATGAAGTCATTGCCCATTTTCATTCTTGAAATCATAACTGCCATGTAAATACAATATCAAAAACTCACCAAAATTTGTAAGATCGCAAAGACATTTGCTTCCAACATTCTCTTCATTGATAAAACATTTTATTTCAGATTCAGTTTTGATTCTGAAATAGACGTGATCACAATCACTTCACAACAATCAACTAAATGAGATTTTGTTCATTGGTTTGTTTATTCAGATTATATATATAAGACCTTGCTATACAATGAGATGGAAGATGACAGAGTAAAAGCACCAGCAAAGGCGTGCACATGGCAGGTGCCGGCACTGCTTCAGCTGGAGAAAGCCAGGTCATTAGAAAGCCACTGAAGGATGTCAAGCTAATCTTATCTATTCAGACTTATTTCAGAAGGATTCCCAAGGCAGTAAGATAGAGAACAGAATGAAAGGTGGGCAAATAAGGGAAAAGGAAAACAAGCAGAGGGAACTGGGCAAACCTATACCAATAAGGAGGTTATTTATAAGGTTCAAAAGTGGGAGTTGTGTGTTTACCAGGAATCCAAATACTCTCATCTTACATTAGAATACCCGGGCTCAATTCCTGCCCCTGGTTCCTGACTCTAGATTCCTTCTAATAAAGGCAATTGGCAGTGATGGCTCAAGTAGTTGGGTTCCCGCCACCCACATGAGAGACTTGCCTTGAGTTCTTAGCCTCTGGCTTTGATACTTGGCGCAGCTCTGGATATTGTGGGCATTTGTGGACTGAACCAATGGACAGGAACTTATTCTATTCCTGAACCTCCTTCTTATCCCCTCTTTTTCTCTATCCCCCAAGTTCCCAAGTTTATCTATACATAGACATATATATGTATGAATTTTTTGATTTAGAAAAAATGAGATTCTGAATAATGCAAACTGAATTAGAAGTATATTTATTTTCATTTACTAGGAAGAATGTAAAAATTCTAAAGATCCTTTAAAATGTTTTTTAAAGTCATTTATAGAGTAAAAACAAACAATTCTACACGAACATCTAAACATATCTGTCCCTTGCTTACAGCAGCTTAAATTAAATCACAGAAAGGTGTTTGGATTTATTATTATTAAAATATAATATTAAAATGGCATAAAATAAGATACAGCAGTAATTATAATATTTTGTGTAATTTTTGAGATAAACATCTAGTCTTTTCCTAACTTTTTTGTATTTGTAAAGTAGTGGATAATGAATAAAATCTGAAGCTGGGGTAGCTGCTCAACACCAACGTCATGGAGCTCAGGAATTAGACACATGGTCTCCAATTCTAGCTGCATAAAGCTAGCTTAATTACCTTGTGCAAATACTTTTAATAAAATAGAGATAGCAATGATACCTATTCTGTAATGCCATTGCAAATCTTAAGTGAGACATAAAATGTTGTGTTTATTATGTCTCACATATTAAATTGCCCAAGAAACACTTGAACATCAGTGTTTTGACCTTCTGTAGGTCTCAGATTCTCCAACACGGTCTCTTGCAGTAAGGTCTCAGAATCATTTACTTCATATGCGCAGGTGTCCACTTTTAAATGTACACAGGCACGGACATCTTAAACTGCCTGAGTTGCTGGTGATCTGGAAAGTTTCCACAGCTGTAGCCATTTCTCCAACCCCTCTCCCAGTACTATTAGTTTTTCATTTCACTGACCAGATATTGAAATGAGCCAACATACTAGACTAATAGCACAGGAAATTAACCAGGGATTATTCTGTTTGTCCAATTATCAACTCTTGTAAATCTCAAGACAATAAAGTTTTTATTACACAAGTGTTCCTCATTTCAGTTGTTTTTGTGTAATTCTGGACCAGGTCAGCCAGACGAACTTTCTAGAATAGCATGTGCATGCCTCTTCCACTTACCTCAAGAACTACGTAACACACACATCAAGGGGAATATGAAACAGCCAAGTTTTTTTAAAAAAGTTTGCACTCCCATTTTTAACCTTTGAGCTTGCATCACTGAACAACATAATTAAAGCCTCCAAAAGCTTTACTGTTATCATATTCTGAGTTATGCAAATATATTTTTAAAAACCTTTCAGGAGGTTTAAACATCTCCCACCAAAAAGCAACTTCCAGAAGATGGATGTAAGATTCATCTCAGAAAGTAGTGATGATGTTTATGTAAATGTTTTCTGTTTTAAGTTTTATGACATACTGTAAAACTTTCTGCAATCATAAGCCTTTTACTTCACATGTAGGAATCACTTTCCAGAATAAGAAACTACTTCCATACGAAAAGTACTTAAGTCAAAGGTAATGAGGTTTGAAACTTGATAGAGAATAAGACCAGATAAAGGACCTATTTGATATAATAAATGCTTAAAATACACATTTTATTAAAAATCCTTTATAGGAGCTGGTGCAGGAGCTCAGCAGGTTAATCTTTTGTCTTACAGTGCCAGCATCCCATACGGACACCAGTCTGTGTCCCAGTAGCTCCATTTCCCGTCCAGCTCCCTGATTATGGCCTGAGAAAACAATAAAGGATGATTCAAGACATGGGAGAGCTTGGGGGGCCATACTAGCAGAGTCACTGGGTTCCAGACAAACATAAGAAAATCATGAGACTTTAGTTTGACCCACATTTACATTGCAACTTAAACTCTGATTGTAATGGTAGCTCTTAATGATCTACGTCTACTCCTTGGGATTTCCCCCATTCTCACCTGGCTTGATTTAGTCTTTGGTGCTCTTGCCACCACACTTGCTTGTGCTGTTTCATTAGCCGCTGTTCTTTAGATAACTTTGAAGTCTGCAGTGCTTTTCTGATCTACATTTGGAGGAACAAAAGAAGAGCAACTTCCAAGTCTCAAAATAGTGTTTGCCAACTGCAGTGTTTAATCTGCATCTTCCAAGCTAACTACTTGATGCTTTAAAATACTTATTCATGCATTTTCTCACATTATATCCTTAAATGCAATGATAAAAACCAGGGAGGGAAAGTGAAAAACTGGTTGGAAATGCTTGGAACTTTAAGAACTGCTTTAAAATTATGTTTGCAAAGAAAGGTGAAGTCATTCCATTTTCCATTCATACTGTAAATAATATCTTGAATTCATTTAGCCCCAGGACATTTGTCAAGGGCTTATCCCACCTAGTCCACATTTTGGATACATCTTCCCTGGCAAACATGACAAGAATTATCATTCCCATTTTACATGTGGAAACACTGAAGGTAGATAAGTTAAAGAATTCGGTCATCATCATAAAGCTTGTAAACATCAGTTACACAAAATCTATTATATGGCTTGATCGTCCATTGATTTTTTCAGTGGAAGCAGAAGAGAGATTACTTGGAAAAATTGTTAGGAAACCTGACTTTAATCCTGTACTCAGAACTTGCTAGAAATAGCAGCCTGAGAAAATAATTTTGGTCTCGCAGTTTTATGACATTGTAAAGAATAATTGTTTGCATTTCAGCTGCTATTTATTTTGAAGTCACTTCACAGAACTTCAGTAGCTAAAGATTATGCAAGCACTGAAACCAAAACTTTAAGCTAAAATTAATTATCCCTGAATTTTCTTTTGAAAAATTTAGCACATCCTGGGTACTGTGGGAGCATCTGCTGACCAGCTGTGTCATGCTGGGGTGTGCTTCCCTGAGATCCATCCCTGGTTATCGCCCTCATCTGCTCCATGTCACAGAGCAACCCCATGTTCCTCAGGCGACACTCTCTGTAGCCCAAGAAGATTGATAGGAGGTTGGCAGGGAGCAGTGAGGTGAAGGAGAAGCCAATGGATCAGCCCACTACAACCCTCACCTTCTCTGCTCTCAGAAGACTATAAGAACACCTGCAGTTTCCTCATGAAACTTTCTTCTGGACAGTCCCAACTACTTCTGGACAAGCTCCGCCTTACAATGTGGTTCAGCCCTGCTGCTTCACTGGGTTTCTCTGATTTGGGATAACAGTGATCTCCGGCAGCTGTCAATATTGTGCTGCCACTGTATCACCTGCATATCCATTTTCTACCACTTAAGATTCATCTACTATAGAGCAACCTGCCAAATATTTATAGCAATGCAAAGCACAATAGTGAAGACACAGAAACAATCCAGACATCATTCAACAAATGAATGGATAAACAAACTATGGTACATCTACATTTACTCTGTGGACTACCACTCAGCCATAAAGAAAGAATGAAATCCTGCCATTTGCAATAAAATGGTCCTAACCGGAGACCATCAATGCTTAGTGAAATAAGCAAGACCCAGAAGGATAAATATCATATATTCTCTCTGATATAAGACAGCCTTTAGGCAAATTACAAAATAAATAGATGTAGTGTAGCCATATAAACTACAAGTGTATACACATATACTCTCACAGGGGGATGGTATAGTGGAGACTAACATACTGGGAAGTAAAGTCACGTCACATCTCTGCTCCTGAATAAGGTAGGACTTCCATTTTGAAACATGTAAAGCTACCTGTAGAGCATGAATCTAGATAATCTACCTCGCCCCATACCTAGAGGACATGATACACTTAAACAGCAGAAACTGATCTGTAACTGCTACTAAGGGACTACACTACTGTAGTCATCCAGAAAATAATAACTGGGTAATGAGAAAATGGGGACGGAGAAAGAGGAGTGGAAGGGAAAAATCTTACAGCTACAAAACCATATCATGGTAAGTAATGAATAGATTTGTTTTTAAAATAAAGATCTATCTACTCTAAAGCCTCAGGTGGTGTATTCTATATTAGATCTTAAATATCTACAAAAATGTAAGCTAGTAACAGGGTGAAATATGCATATTTCATAATTTCCCTGTGACTTGAGTACTTAACACCTTAAAGAGTTTAAAAGACCATACTTTTACCACTTTTTCCTTCCTTTCTTCCTTTCTTTATTCTTACTTTCTATGAAATCTATTCTCTATATAAATAAAAATCCAATTGAAAATAAGAGAAAAAGAAATTATCAGTACTGAAGAGAACTTCAGAAGACACCTTCTAAAAAGCAATGTTTATAATGCATGCTACTTTTGGCTGTCATTCACAGATTACTTTAACCTTGAGTTTATTTGTTTGCTGTGCTGATTTCCAATTTAAAATTAGGGGTACAAAAAAACAAATGAGCACAAAGATTACTTGACTTCAAATTCAAAGTCAAACTCTTTCCTCGGAAGACCTGATAACTGCAATGATGAAATTTAGGAAAAGGTACATTTTTTTGAAAAATAGAGGATATTGCAGAAAAATACTCACCTTATTCTGAAAAAATACAAGTTTTTAGTATTTCTAAAGTATGACACATGAGCGCTTCCCTTAAGAATGCCTAAAGCAGGGCCCAGTGGCGTGACCTAGCAGCTAAAGTCCTCGCCTTGAACGTCCCATATGGACACTGGTTCTAATCCCAGGGGCCCTCCTTCCCATCCAGCTCATTGCCTGTATTCTGGGAAAGCAGTGGAGGACAGCCCAAAGCCTTGGGACCCAGCACCAGTGTGGGAGACCTGGAAGAAGTTCTTGGATCCTGACTTCGGATCGACTGTTGCGCTCACTTGGGGAGTGAATCATCAGACGGAAGATCTTCCTCTCTGTCTCTCCTCTCTGTATATCCACCTTTCCAATAAACATAAAATAAATCTTTAAAAAAAATCTATCTGAAATTCACTTAGTCAAAAGTATAAAAAACATACAAGCATGAAAAAATCCATGGCAGTGCTATTTGTAATAGAAAGCGATGGGAGTACAAAATTCCATCCTTAAACAAGCGAGATACATGACATCTGAATCTGAACAAGTCGCAGGAACTGGCTTACTGTGCACTGGATATATGAGGCAGAACATCATGGTAAGTGACATCACCAGGATATGATCATCATCCTTCACACTGTAAGAATGCATAAATTACAAAGAATCATACCTGGGAAGGGAGGGACTCTAAACAGAAGAGCCAGTTATAACATGTGGATCTTATTTAGCTGCTGTTTCGAATATTCTTTAATAAGAATTTTTTGAGGGACTAGAATTGTGGTGCAACAGGTCAAACCCCTTCTTTGGATGTCCACATCCCATGGCACAGTACCTATTACCAGTCTCAGCTCCTCTGCTTTCCAGCTTCCTGGTAATGTATACGCTGGGAGGGGGCAGGTGATGACTCAGGGGCTTGGGCCTCTGCCATGCACACAGGAGCCTTGGATTGAGTTCTGGGCTCCTCAGCTCAGTCTGGCCCAATCCTGGCTGTGGCAAGCACTTGAGAAGTGAGCAAACACGTGAAAAAAAAAAAGTATCTCTCACTGTCTTCCCTGCCTTTCAAATAAATTTTTTTTTACAAATATAGGAAAAGAAAAAAGTTGAGACTTAGAGAATTTTTATTTATTTATTTATTGGAAAGTCAGATATACAGAGAGGAGGAGAGACAGAGAGGAAGATCCTCCATCCGATGGTTCACTACCCAAGTATCCACAACAGCCAGAGCTGTGCCAATCTGAAGTCAGGAGCCAGCAGCCTCTTTCGAGTCTCCCACGTGGTTGAAAGGTCCCAACTCTTTGGGCCATCTTCGACTGCTTGCCCAGGCCACAAGCAGGCAGCTAGATGGGAAGAAGGGCTGCCAGGATAAGAACCAGCACCCATATGGAATCCAAGCATGTGCAAGGTGAAGACTTTAGCCGCTAGTCTACCACGTTGGGCCCAAGACTTAAAGATTTTTAACACTGATAATATACTTTTAATTATTAAAAATGAATAAATACACATGCAGTGATAGCATTTTTAAAGCCCCAAAACTTTACAGATACATGCAGAATATTTATGTGTGAGATATAATGTCTAAACCTCTCTTCAATGCAAAGTGGTACAGAGGGATGTTTGTGGGTGGGAGAACATAGGAAATAATGATCAAAAGTTGATCATTACTGGAGCTGGATATCACATAGAAATTTATTACATCAGGGCCCAGCACAGTAGTTTAATGGCTAAATTCTTTACTTTGCATGTGCTGGGATCTCATATGGGCATCAGTTCTAATCCTGCTAGCCCCGCTTGCCATCCAGCTCCCTGCTTGTGGCCTGGGGAAGCAACTGAGGACGGCCCAAAGCCTTGGGACCCTACACCTGCATGTGAGACCCAGAAGGAGCCTCTGGCTACTGGTTTCAGATCAGCTTAGCTCCAGCCATTGCAGCCCCTTAAGGAATGAACCAGCAGATGGAAGCTCTTCCTTTCAGTCTGTATTTTCCCTCTGTAAACCTAACTTTCTAATAAAAATAAATAATTCTTTAAAAAATTTATTATACATTCAATCTGATTTCACTTACATCCACAGTTTCTCAAAATAATGTGTTTTTATTTAAAGAAGAATTAATAGATGGACTCTTGAATGGGACAAGAATAGTCATTCTTACTAACTAAAGAAACAAATATAGCAATAATTTAAAAGATCTTTTTTATACTTGGTAAGATGAGAATTAACAATTACATGATTGTAATTAACAATTACATGATACTGTCGTTTCCTCAGCCTATATTTACTATTTGGCTTCAGGGTCAGTCTCAGCCTTTGGAAGGTGGATCAGTCAACGTCGATTTCAGCAAATCTTTTGACATCCCTCAAATTGTTCATGATCAATGACAAATTGATTACACAGAGGACTATCACACTAATCAGCTGTAAGCGTATCAATAACACAAATCGGGCATGCAGCTAAGCATTTCAGATGAAGCAATGATTTCTTTGCATGCCTTTAATGTTGACATTCTATCATTCAGTTCAAATATACTTATATTTAATACTGCCAGAAAAGAGGGCTGTATTAATAATGAATATCAATTATATTGCTTTTGGATGTACAAAATGAGCATTTTAAAATAGTAAAATAAGCAGGAAACACATGAACATTTAACATTAACATTAATGCAAATATCAAGAATGTGTTATGTAACATTAGAAAGAATCATCTTTTTGAGAAAACAAAATAAGACTAACATGGATGATAACTTTTATTCTAGATAGTGTAGAACAGTAGAGTAGCATTCATAACATTAAAACATTAAACTTTAAGGGCCATTGTCAAGTCACTGCTTAATCTGGTACCATGTGAGTTCCGGCTGATGAACATCCAATCCATCTCCCTGCTACTGTTCCTGGGAAGGCAACAGAAAATGGCCCAAGTGCCTAAGACCTTGCAACCATATGGGAGATTTGGACTCCTGGTTTTGTTGGTGAGTAAACAAGCAGATGGAAAATTGATCTCTCAAACTCTCTCTGTCTCTCTCTCTCTGTCTCTTTCTCTCTCTCTCTCATACACACACACGACATATATATATTGAATGAGCAAATGATACATCATGCTCTCCTTTTCTCTAACTCCTTCATCCTAATCCACCACCTTCCAGAAACTCTGCCTTCCTAATAAATAAGTAAATCTTTTAAAGTAAACTTTAAGGATATTTAATTTTAATTTCTAATTATTTAATTCCATGTAAGCCATAAATCTTTTTTTTTAAAGATTTATTTTATTTTTAGTGGAAAGCCGGATATACAGAGAGGAGAGACAGAGAGGAAGATCTTCCGTCCGATGATTCACTCCCCAAGTGAGCACAATGGCCGATGCTGTGCCAATCCGAAGCCAGGAGCCTCTTTCAGGTCTCCCACGCGTGAGTGCAGAGTTCCAAAGCCTTGGGCCGTCCTTGACTGCTTTCCCAGGCCACAGGCAGGGAATTGGATGGGAAGCGGGGCTGCAGGGACCAGAACCTGCGCCCATATGGGATCCCGGGCGTGCAAGGCGAGGACCTTAACCACTGCGCCATCGCGTCAGGCCCTGTAAGCTATAAATCTTTTAAGAAAAATCATATTTGGGAACTACTCATGTATAACAAAAATAAATTGAAAACAAAATGTCAACTTGCTACCTTTAAATGAGAAGGGAAATATTCAAAAATCATGTACAGCAACATTCCCAATACATCTTGCTTAATCTAGACACAACAATAAAATGAAAATTCTATAATGAAAAAGTGTTAGAAAATTATGAAGTATCCAGGACAGTTTGTTATCATTAACCAAAGTTCAAAACAAAATGAACATGTTTTAAAAGATTAATTCTTTATCTTATGAATCTGTGAAGACTAAAAAAAAAAATGAAACAAAAAGCTTATCAAAATGATTGCTACTGACTGTGAGCCAGTTTAATAGTTAAAGAAAAAAATTATTTGAGAGTTTTCAAGCTATGAAGCTATGAATCCATGGTGCGAAGTTATTTCAGAAATTGTTACTGTAAAGCTTCTTATTGAATCATATTTGTTTATGAAAACAAAGGTTAGGGATGAGCCTGAAAATGCCAGTCAGGGTCGGTGTTGTGGCACAGTGGGTTAAATCCCTCACTTGCCAGCTTGCATCACTGCCCTCCCCTATCATGCTGCCACTTCAAGTCCCTGGCGCTCTGCTTCCTATCTTGGTCTCAACTGATGCACCTAGGAATGCAGGAGAAAATGGCTCAAACACCTGGACCCCTGAAACTCATGAAAGATCAGGGTAGGTTCCTAGCTCCTGACTTCAGCCTCGCCCTCCGTCGTTACAGCTAATTCACGGAGTAAATCGGCAGAGGAAGGTCTGACTCTTATTCTCCTTTGCTCTGCTTTTCAAATGTATCCTTTAAAATGAAGTAAAATGCCAGTTAAAACTCACAAATCTATAAAACAAGGACCAGAGATGCAAAGAAGTAGTTGACAAGGTTAAGGAATTATTTTCCCCCTGTCTAGTGTTCAAATTTTGAAACCACAATAATAATTAAGATTATTAAATGTTTATTATTTGGAGGAAATGTGTCGTCACTAAGAAATGTTCTCTATAATACTCAACCATTCTACCCTTCCATATTCAACCAAAAAGTTGTCTGTGCTATTTTAGTACATCTCAGATGAAAGGATGAATATATATGTATAATATTTATACACACATATATATGTGTATACGATATATAAAATAGATACACATATGAAATATATGTGCAGATAATTTAACATGACAAAGGTTTCAAGGATATGCTTGTGGCAGTGTCTTTATTAAAGTAATACTTTAGGAAAGAAATTTGGAAATAGGTCTCAAAAACATCAAACAAACAAACAAACAAACAAACTAGACTTTCAGTCCAGATAGCCAAATCATGAGAATTTTACCTGTGGAGGATAGGAATTCTAAACCATAAAAAGTCTCTCTCCACAAAGGCGTTCACAGTAAAATGACTTCCAACACGACACAAGCGAAGCCTTGCACAGCCTAACGAGAAGATGTGATCATGCATCTTTCTATCTGGAGTAATTGCCGCCCTGGTTTTTGCTTAATTACTTCTTACTGATCTAAGATCCTCATTCCAATGTTACTTTCTCAGAAAGGCCTTTTCTAACTACATAGTCAGGACCAAGCCTTGGCAGCATGTTTTGTTTTCATTGCAGTTTATAGCAAATATAACTTTATTCTGGGCTTATCTGATAAACAGTGACTCTCTATCGTCCCCCAGGGTGGTACTTAATCAAAGTTGGGGTTGAATTTTGCAATTGTATTTTCAAGGCAAAAAGTGGGCATATAATACTTATTGCTTGGAACAATTAGTATATAGTAAGTATCATAAGGGTTATATAGAAAAATATTAAGGTAAAAAGTATACAGACTATCATACCTTGATTATCATGCAAGAATACATGAATTAAGTGTTTGTGTTTATACAGGCATGCAAGCACATTCGATGTATATACAATATGTCAGAACAGAAATCAGATACATGAAAAATTATGATGATAGTTATATAAATTCCTTATATAAATTTCTTTAAATTCCTCAACAAATTGTTTTCAAGTGGCATCTGATCAAACACATAATATCCCAAATTTTGAACAGTCACCTTAGTTTGAGAGAATATAATCTAGAGAATAATTTTTCCAGAATAAGGTATCAAATGTTCCCCCAGAATCATGAGTTACACTTTGTAACAAGTATTAACAAAGAGCTATGCAAACATGAGAGAGAAAATGAAAATTTTAAACACAAATAAAAACTTTGCTTAACACATTATTTGAAAAACCAGTTGTTTAACGTAACCAAGCAATGACAATGCTGCTGTTAAGAAACACTGTTGTTTGCACAAGGGAACTACATTTCATGAGTAATCCTACACTATACTTGGCCCTACATTAATGTTCAGAATTATTTTCTATAATCTCCTGTTGAATCTAGCATTTGTTCACCTTGTTTCCACATGAGACAAACATAGAAGAGAGAAAAGGGGAATTCTAGAAAGCACAGCACTTCAGAGTACCTGAGTATAATGGTGCCAAAGGAACTTAAGTCATATATGTTGTTCACATATTGCACTTGCTAGCAATTTTTATTATTCAGGTTGGATGTTGCTGAAAGCTAATGAAATGGCCTTCTTTCCAAAAATAAACTTCAATTCAGACCTCAAGGCATTGTTAGTAACGTTAATTGAGAAATTCATATAAAATAACAGGGTCCAAGGCCTATGTTAGCTGCTGTTTACTATAATACTTGAGAGACGGTAAAACCTATTTAGAATGTTATTTATTTTCACATTTGCAATGTAAATATCATTATGCATCCTAGGAATCGATTTCCCTCAACTACACACACACCACATACACACACACCCCTCCTCACCTTTAGCTCTGATGACGCAGAAGCTAACTTCTTTGCTTCAGTTAAAGCATGCAATTGTTGATAGTCCACTGGTTTGTACTTTTTACTTTTTATCCCATTTTTCACTCGAAATACCAGATTATCTGCTGTTCATAAAAACCACAAAAATGACAAATCCTGGTTTCAGGAAATCAAATTATAGGTAGGCTAAAATGTTAACTTCATGTTACTTTCAAGTATTTTAAATGCAAATTCAAGAAATAATACAGTACATTTTCCATAATATGTTTGAAACTCTATTTCTAGAAACTCTTAGAATTTGGTCATTACACTTTGTAAAAAACTGTAATTTTATAAGGGCATTGAGGGCATATTTCCATGTAAATTAGTATATTATGAATTTTTAAAAAGTGTGATGCCAAGATACAAAGTATGACCACTGTTGAAGCATTCTTTCAAGCTTAAAGCAGGAATGGACTTGGGATGTATCAAGTTAAACCACCACCTGCCGTGCTGGCATCCCACATGGCCTCTAGTTCAGATCTCGACGCTCCAATCCCAATCTACCTCCTTGTTAATGCACCACGGAAAACTAGCAGAGAATATTTGCTCTTGGTCTCTCTGCAATTCTAGCTTTCAAATAAATAAATAATAATTCAGTTAGAAAATACCTGAGCTAGCATTTCTCTGAGTTGTCAGGAATGGCCTGTCTCTCATATTCACGTTTTCCATACCTGTCAGAGAAACAATAACAGTTACAAGTTTGCAAGGTTATTTTAAAAGTGTTTTTAAAGATGTGATCATTCAAGTATTTTTAAAAGTGAGGCATGGGGGTTGGGTATCCGACACCACTCAGTGTGCCTGCAATCCATACCACAGTGTTTGAATTCCAGACCCACTTTGCTCCCACTTCCAGCTTCCTAAAAATGTATATACCAGGTGGTAGCAGGTGATAGCTCAGGTAAATAGGTTCTTGTTATCCATAAGAGCAGCTCAGATTGAGTTTCTGGATCACAACTTTGGTCTGGCCCAGGTATAACTATTATAGGAGTGAACTTGACTATTGCATGCCTTTAGGGAGTAAGCAACTAGAAGCAATACCCTTCTCTGCCTATCTCTGTCTCTTTGCCTTTCAAATAATTCTACCAAAAAAAATCGTCCTAAGTGGAGCACAGGTCTGAATAGGACTGGAAAAATATTAACTTTATTCTCTTAGAATTTGTTCCTTCTTCCCACAACTCTCCCTTCACTTGTGTTTTTCTTCTGTACTGCACATTTTGATCACTATTTCCAATCTTTTCCCTTTAGGACCCTTTGCTGTATTATCCCATCTGAAAAGTATGGTGATTAAAAGGTTATGTGTATTCTATCTTGAGTTATTGAAGGAGGGAGGAACACATGTGGGATCCCATATGGGCACCGGTTCTAATCCCAGTGACCCTGCTTCCCACCCAGCTCCCTGCTTGTGTCCTGGGAAAGCAGTTGAGGATGGCCCAGAGCCTTGGACCCTGCACCCACATGGGAGACCCAGAATAGGCTCCTGGCTTCGGATCGGAATAGCATTGGCCGTTGGGGTCACTTGGGGAGTGAATCATCGGACGGAAGATCTTCCTCTCTGTCTCTCCTCTCTGTATATCCACCTTTCCAATAAAAACATAATAAAAATAAATCTTTAAAAACAAAAAAGAGTAACACCCTGACACATCTGCCTTTGAAGAAGGACTCTTGGTCCAGCTGTCGGAGTGCAGTCTAAAACAGCCTCCAACTGTCACCTCCTTCAATGTGGACTGAGCTATGGAGAAGAGCCTCGTGATACCTTCGCTGGGGCAGCCATACCTTACAACTAAGTAAGGCAGGAGTATAAGCCAATTTGGGTCCAATGTAAGTCACAGACAGACAATATTTGCAATAGGCCCTACTTCAAATTCGCATAGAATTTGTTGGATCTGCTTGAAATTGATTCTTCATTTTCCCAATTCTACTTCTTCCTGATTCCTTTCATGGATGTGGAATCCCGATAAACATCTTGCATTCCTAAGTCTACTTCAGTATCTGCTTCCTGGGAGCCCAAGTTGTGATAGATGCAACTGCAATCATTTAGGATCACCTTCAGGATAAAAGGACCAATCAAGTGGTTCTTCCAAGAAATACTTGCTAAGGTTGTGTTCAGTATCCACTGGATTGATCTAACTGTGCCTAGAGACCTTTGCAATAACTAAACATTTCTAAATGCAGGAAGAAAGAACAGACATCAATGACTTCCAAAAAGCTGCCCAAGTTATCATGACAAAAGATTGCACCTTTTTAACTTGTTGGTTGGAGTTGTGGGAGGTGAGTTGGTTGAGATGTCTGTAGTGTGGACTGTAATTCAGATTGTTAATTGTCAGTCCTCTTGAATAAGCATACAAACAAAACGAATTTTTCTTCACAAGCAGATTGGACCTGGTCTCCCTGTCAATGTTGTCACATTCCTCCTTAAAATGGGTTATTTATAAACTGCTGATCTGTTTCAAGCATTTTCACCATAAACTTCATAAACCTTAATGATTGCTATATTCCAACCCAACCATCGTGATAAATGTGACATTTTGCTTCAAATTTAGCAAAAATCGTGCTTTCTTTTCAAACTGATATCTTCTTAGGGCCTCAAACTATATCCTGCTTAGATGTTACAATAAGCTAGCACAAGTCTATTTGGCTGAAAAATATTTTGAGATCTATGCATAAGTTATCATAATACACATTTTCCATGAATATTTAACACCGCACATACTGCTTGAGGAACTCAATCAAAAGTGGGTATTTGATACTAGATGTCTCATGACAAACTCACAAGAACCACAAAAGCAATCTCTAAGCCCATACTATAGTGTCCCTCTCCCTAATATAATATTTCAGCTTCTTTTAGTTTGCCCTACTGACATACCCAGCAAGTAAGAGTATCATACGTAAATGTCATCAACAACCTCAGTTAAATGATAAAGTTAACATGGAGCAAGACCACAGAAAGTGGCAGAAAACTGAACTGCATCCTGTAAACAAAGACACCAAATACTGCATTTTTCTATAACACAGGTACAAGCCACAAAAAGCAGCTATATCTGGCAAGTGCCTTGCACTGCATAGTGGGAAAGCTAAGGAAAGCCGGAGTATATGGAAGAGGAAAAATATAAAAAGAGCCTCACTAATTTAGTGCCATGAGAACTGCACTGATCCCACCTAATAATCCATTCATCTCTTAAAAGTTCCACCACCTCTCAAGGCCATTGCATTGAGTTTTCAAGGGAAAGCTTTGTAACTCACCAAATGTGTCTCACCATGTTTACACATCTCAAATTTTAGTTAAATTTATAAGAATATTATACTTGGGGCCCGGCGGCGTAGCCTAGCAGCTAAAGTCCTCGTCTTGAACGTGCCAGGATCCCATATGGTCGCCGGTTCTAATCCCGGCAGCTCCACTTCCCCAACCATCTCCCTGCTTGTGGCCTGGGAAAGCAGTGAGGATGGCCCAAACCTTTGGGACTCTGCACCCACATGGGCGACCCAGAAGAGTTTCCTGGTTCCTGACTTTGGATCAGCGAAGCACCGGCCGTTGTGGTCACTTGGGGAGTGAATCATCGGACGGAAGATCTTCCTCTCTGTCTCTCCTCCTCTCTGTATATCCGACTTTGTAATAAAAATAAATAAATCTTTAAAAAAAAAAAAGAATATTATACTTGGAGCAAGCACTGTAACACAACAGGTTAAGCCTCCACCTGCAGTGCTAGAATCTCCTATCAAATTGCCAGTCAGATCCCCAGCCACTGAGTTCTTGATCTAGTTCCCTGCCAACATGCCTGGGAAATCAATGGGAAATGGACGAACCAAACCCTTGGACTCCATCACTGATAAGGAGGTCTGGATGGAGTTCCAAGCTCCTGGCTTCAGCCTGGCCCAACTGTGACTGCTGTGGCTATTCTGGAGTGTGAATCAGCAGGTAGAAGTTTCCTCTTTGTATCTTCCATCTACTCCACCCATAACTTTTCCCTACAAATAAATCTCTCAAGTAAAAGAGAACATTACACTGGAATAACAATGTGTCTCAAAAAAGTTTATGATAAAATGTAATTAAAGGAACGCCCCAGAATATTGTGATAATCAAAGTTTCAACCCAAACAAATCTGTCTTCATGAAGTTGAAACCTACTTTGGTTCCAACAACACAGAGTACCAAGTAGACACACTTCTTGGGTCACATAGCTTAATTCTTATATATAAATTATAAATACTACCCATCTTCCAAAAATGTTGAAGGTCTCTTAATTAAGAGACTATTAAGCTGAGGTGTTACAAAATAAATTATAGGTTTTCCTATAATAGAACATTGATTTCACATAATGTGATTTGAAAATTCATTAATAATTGGATTAAACCCATTTCTCATTTTGGCAATTGAAATGATTGAGGCTTAGGGATAAATGACAAAAATCACATGCCTAATCATTTGCAGGAAAACATCAGATTTATAATTAAAAAATCTCTCCAAATAAAGGCTTTTTCACTGCTGACATGCTGAAATCACTTAATGGCAAGGCTCATCTCAACTGTTGTGCACTCTATCTAATGGGAACTTTGGACACATCTGCTAAAAAATATTAATGTGTAGAGCTGCAGGGTACTGACCCAAGCCCCACAGGGCATATAAGAAATATGTCTATCCCATAATTCTAAAAATCAGGAAAAATGAATAATATCTCTGCAAGAACACATTTCAGATTGTATGCTATGAACCTGTACTAAAGCAAATACTTTGATTCCAAAAGAAGCATTTGTCATCTAGGTCATTTCAATTTTATGCTTACTAGTGAGAAATTGAGAGTGGCTACTTTCGCCTATAGTCAAAATTACTTTTGGCTAAGTAACTGCTTCTTTTTACAGATTCTTCCTGTTTAAGATTTATTTATTTTTATTTGGAAGTCAAATATACAGAGGATGAGAGACAGAGAGGAAGATCTTCCATCTGTTGATTCACTCCCCAAGTGACTGCAATGGCTGGAGCTGATCTGATCTGAAGCCAGGAGCCTGGATCCTCTTCCAGGTCTCCCATGCAGGTGCAGGGTCCCAAGGCTTTGGGCTGTCCTCCACTGCTTTCCCAGAACACAGGCAAGGGGCTGGATGGGAAGGAGGGCCCCTAGCATTAGAACCAGTGTCCATATGGGATTATGGCATGTGGAAGGCGAGGATTTTAGCCACTAGGCTATCATGCCAGGTCCAACAGAATTTTTTTTTCCCTCATGAGCAGTGTAATGGAAACTAGAATATTAGAAAATGAAAAAGTGTGCCAGTAGTCATCTGACTCCCAATGAAACTGTTAAGTATAGGTTGACAATTTGATACAAGATTTTCTTCCTTAGCCTAGACCATTATAACACTGATTAACATAGTGCAGGACAAGTGGTGACAGCCAAGTGCAGCTAATGCCAGGTGTCTTCAGCAGTAATGTCCGTTTTCACTGTAAATGGACACTTGCAAGAAAACACGTATCAGACCACTGAGCCCAATGCCAGATGTCCCTTCAGAATGCAATTGTTGTTTCTCTAGCAAAATCTTTCAGAAACTGTGTGTTCAAACAGCTAGTAAAAATGAATGAATCTTCAGTCCGTGGGTGTGCACCCTGAAGCACCTGTGGAGCATGACAGAATTTTTCATGTTAAATAATTTAAGAGCACTTAGTATTGGAAATTACTCCATATTCA